TAGATCACTGCCACTAAACACATTCACATCATCGCGCGGCCACCCACACCACCCATCTCCAGAACCTTTTCATCTTCCCCACCTGCAACTCCGTCCCCACCAACTCTATGTCCTCCCCCACCGCAGCCCCCGGCAGTCACTGTCCTGCTTTCTGTTTTTATGAATTTGACTCTTTTACTTGTAGAAGTTTCATGGCTGGTTTCTTTTCTTTCTTTCTTTTTTTTTTTTTGATATGAAAATAAGAGTTAGAAGTTTAGAAATCTCCCATGCCCCTGCCTGGTCAAAAAGTGTCATTCATTATGAGGACACGGGCATTGCTTCAATCTGTTGTCATCTGTCCACAATCTGGAGCACACTCGCCAGCTAGTCATTCCCTTCTCACGTTTTGACCAGCTGGATCCCAGCCCCAGACTGTGAACTATGTACGACTCAGAATTTATACCATTGAGCTGAAGTGTGTTTCCAGCTTGGTTGTATCCATGTACACTCCTATCTAGAGTATAGGGGAGTTCCTACTAGTCAAATGATACTTGAGAGCCACACTCTTTCAGTTTGGAGGATGTGAAATTACTTGTGGTCTTAATTTTCCCGTCCCTGATTAACAAAGAGGTTGTACATCTTTGAGACTGTTTACTGGCCATTTTCTCTCCAATGCGGTGACATGACTGTTCATACCCTTTACACATTTTTCTTGGTAAGAGTTCTTTGTATTACAGGGTGTGGCAAAAGTAGGCTGGCAGTTATCAGTATGTGGAACACACAGTGTATTCTTGTAACTTATTATTATATTATTTTCCATATGAACAACTGTAAAACCCAATTGTGACCCACCCTGCATTTTATTAGTCCTTTTTTCAGTTATGTTTTGAAAATATGTTTTTTCTTTCTGATACCACTTAAGTAATCTTAATTTCAGCATGGTTGAATTTATCAATCCTTTTGTTTACAACATGTGCTGCGGGTGTCTCATCGAATGAATTCTTCCCTGTTCTGTGGGCACAGGCGAGTTTCCTAATGCTTTATGATTAAAAGTTTAATTTGGTCCTTCCCTTTTAAGTCTCTAACCCATCAGAATTAAATTGGTGCGTGGTGTCAGACAGGGTTCCAGTTTCATCTGCTCCACGTGGGTCAGCAGGGACCTCAGTACCATCCATAGAAAACGGCACCCTTTCTCCAATGGTCAGCAACGCCCTCTCCTCACATTTCAAAATCTCAAAAATGGGTGGTGTTCTTGGGGTCTCTATTCTTTTCTATTAATTGACCAGCATATCCCTAAGCAAATGCTCAGCAAAATTTTGCTGTTTTTAGTAGATACCATTTATGTGAGGGTTTTTTTTTTTTTTGGTCATGGATGAATGTTTAATTGTATCAGATAATTTACCCCCACTATTTAGCCCACTATATGGTGTTTCTCCCTTGATCTAGCAGCAGTGGGAATGTCACTTCGGAACTGTTCACTGTTGGATGCCCCTCCCACCTCCTGGAAGACGCCCGACTTGGCCATGACATACCACCTGTCTGCTGCACGGCTGGGTGGGCCTGCTGACACTCTGCTTCAGATGTTTGCATCTGCATTCGGTGCACGAGACAGGCCCCCAGACTTCCCCTCCTCCGCCCTTCGTGTCTGATGTTCTGATCCAGGATATCCCAGCCTCACAGAACGCATTAAAGAGTGTTCCTCTTTTCTTATTCTCTGGAGTTTACTTAAAATTGCTATCTTTTGATGAAAAACTTGACAGAACGTCTCTCTGCTTACCATCGGAGGGTGCCGTTTTCTCTGTAAGAAGGTTTAAGGGCCAGAAGATGATCCAGACCTTCTATTTTTTCCTAGCGTCAGTTTGTGTCAAGTTTACATTTCAAGACATTTTCCATTTCCCATAAGTCTTCAATGTATTGACATAATATCGCTCATGGTATTTTCTTATCTCCCACCATTCTGCTTTATCTCTCGGATCAGAAGCTCCATCCAGTGAGAGGCTGCTGTGGGCGCCCACTGTTGTTGCTGTGCCCCGAGAACGCAGAGGAATGCTGATAACACACGCAGAGAACGTGTTAGGGAAGGAGTGTGTAAGTCTGCATTTACGCCCCCCTGTTCATTTATCGCTGAGCTCTCTTACAGTTTCTCAGTGACTCCTGCCACAGCTTTGTTGATTTCCCCGGTCCCTCTCCCAGAACCAAAGGTTGACTTTGTTGAACAATTTGTTCATCAATTTCTATTATTCTCTTTATGCCCTGCTTTTCCTTTCTTTGAATTTATCCTGATGTTTTTTATATATCAGGTTGTAAGCTTGGCTTATTAATTTTCAGCCTTTCTTTTCAATATAAACATGTGAGGCTATATATAAATTTCCCTATGTGTTTGTTTCACCAGTCATTTCGACACATTTTCATTCAGTTCTGAGTAGTCTTTAGTTTTAGTTTTGATTTGTTTGGAACCATGGGTAATTTAAATGTGTTGTTCTCAATTTTAATCAGAGTTTTAAAAAGTCTTATAGTTACTGCCTTCTAATTTAATTACACTGTATTCAGAGAACTATATATGTGTATATGATTCTTTGAAATGTACTGAAATTTACTTTATGGTCTAATACACAGTTATTTTTTAATAAATGGGAGCTTGAAAAGGATGAATATTCTCCATTAGGTACCAGGTTCTCTATTTGCCCAACAGATCAGGATTATTTTTTACTTTTATTTATTTTATTTTAGAGAGAAGGGAAGGGAGGGAGAAAGAGAGGGAGAGAAGCATCGATGGGAGAGAGAAACATGGATTGATTGCCTCTCGTACCTGCCCTGACTAGGAACCGAACCCTCCACCCAGGCGTGTGCCCTGACAGAGAATCCAGCCAGTGACCTCTTGCTTTACAGAAGAATGCCAACCAACTGAGCCGCGCCGGTCAGGGCTCATGCACCGTCTTTTAATAGAAGGGTTATACGTATGGTTTGCCTGGCTGTGATTTAGACCTACTGTCCCAGCGTAACTCATGGTAGCATTCCCTCACTCGAACAATAAATTACAGTCACTTACTGTTAAACCAGGCTCCCAGCCACCAAGGATCAGCAAGTGCCCCTAGTAACAAATGTCATATCTAGCTGCCTTTTGCTTATTCTCTGGATTTACATTTTATTATCCATCCTGGCCTCCACTTATTTAATTTACTTTGTGGACTGAGTTTTAGGTGTTTTTTACATGGTTAGTTTCATTTTCCTTCCCTTTGAACTTCTGGTTCATAATATTCTTGGATATATTCCTGTGTATTTCACTTATCTTCTTTATGATGAACAAGTATATGACATATTAAAGGGGTGGCATAAATACTGATTGAAAGAATGAATGATGCAAATGATTCTGTTTTGATTTCTAATGTTTTGCAATAAACTTCAAGTGCATTTAAAAAAAAGTTCTTTCCTGTTAAATTTGTGATTTCACTCCTGGGAAGGTGTGAACTTTAAGCTGTTCATCATGACACAGTTTGTATTTGTAAAAATTTTGAAACAGGCCCTGGCTGATGTGGCTCAGTGGACTGAGTGTCGGCCTGTGAACCAAAGGGTCACTGGTTCAATTCCCAGTCAGGGCACATGCCTGGGTTGCGGGCCAGGTCCCCAGTAGGGGGAGTGTGAGAAGCAACCACGCACTGATGTTTCTCTCCTTCTCTTTCTCCCTCCCTTCCCCTCTCTAAAAATAAATAAATAAAATCTTTTGGAAAAAATTTTGAAACAACTAAGGCAACAGGAATGGCTATGTAATGTAAGAGTACAAAATTCCATGAGCATTTTGACTGTAAATGAGATATAATATGTACATGTGGACATAGACTAGAAGCCAACTAGAAATGATTAACTTACTGGAAAAGTAAGGTTTGGACTCCCTTTGTCTTTTTAAAAGTTGCAATTATTGTTACTATAGTGCCACATGGGCAATGGATATAAATTTTAAATCAACTCCAGATATATACATGTATCTATCTCCTCTTTGATACAGTCAGAAAAGCAAAAAACGTACTTGGTGTCAGACAGGCCTGGGTTCAAATCCTTGACTTGTTATTTAATAGCTGAGTCAGACCTTCACGCCTCCTACTGTAGGTAAGGAATTCTGACACACCCCTTTTACCTCTGGCCTCAGTCGTATGGCTACTTTGGCCAATAGAATACTAGCAGCAAGGACTCAAGTTTTCCTTTTGTGCACCTGGGCTTCCTCTTCGACCTCCGCTTTGCCATACCTACTGATGGGATCTGGGAGACACTGAAGGGCAGCCGCCAGCCATTCGACACTAGGTTAAGCTGTGTGACCAGACAACCATCCAGCCAACCTGCAGACTCACCAATAAATAGTGGTTGATCTCAGCCACTATTAGCACAGTTTGTTACGCAGCATTCTCTACTGCAGTAGATAACTGATACACCCTGGCTTCTTCATCTTTCTGCTGCCAGGCCCTCCCACTGTGTTTGGTAACTACAGACCAAGGAGGAAAGCCTTTCTGCCACTGTCCCTTCTCCCAGAGGTAGGATGAGACTCTTATGTTTGCACCCACACCTTTTGTAACACCTGTCATATTTTTTAACATTCGTTTCCTTGCACATTTCTCTTATCCTCTAAGCCATGAATGACTCCCAAGCACAGGGAGTATGTATTCATATCCACATCTACAGCACCTGGCACAGAAGAGGCCCTCAATGAATGTTTTTGTTTGAATGGTATGACTGAAGTTTGGGAGCTGACATGAACCAAAACCACCGGCAGCAGGTGGCAAGAAGCACACAAGCTGGTCCTTACGCCAGGAGGCCTTATGGGTTTCGGAAAGCGCCAACGAGAGGAGCGCGAAAACCCAGGACAATGCAGAAGGAAAGCACATTCTCTCCGGTTCCTTCTCTCATCTCTCTCACCGCACTGCACACGGAGCTCAGAGCCGTTGGCCCCCCTGAAGGGTGTGCCCCAAGCCAACTTCCCTCGGCCACCACGGGGCACCGCGCTCCAGCCCGGGCATGAGTCCCGACTCTACCTTCAGATCAGACACATCTCGGTAGCACTGCTCCGAGCGGGTGTGGTCCGACAGCTGCACGTTCCAGAAGCAGGGGAGCTGATACACGAGGAAGGGGTTCTGTTTGATGACCGCGTTGAAAATATCCTGGGGAAGGAAGCCAGAGAGACACAGTCAGGCGTGGGCGCGGGCACGGGTGTGGGCGGAGCACTGGCCGGAAGTAGAGGGTGGTTCTGCAGAGGACACGTGCGCTCCACCGCTGTTTGAGCCTCGCGCTGCAAACACAGGCAGGCTCACACTGTGGGGCACTTCCCTCGCCTCGGATCTCTAGGAACCGAGCCAAAGCAGCAATGACACTAGGCTAGAGACGGGGCAATGCCCCACGCTGCCATGAAACTCACGGGTCCCGCTGGTCTCATAACGCACCATATGGCACGCGGACGTGTGTGCGCGCGCGAAAGCAGGTAGGGCGCGTCTGTCCCAGCCGAGCTGGCGCATAATAAATGGAGTCACTTTTCCGCCCCTCTTCCCACCTCATGGAGTAGCCCCTTGCGATCCATCCTGAGGCTCCTGGAGGGGAAACTGCGCGATGACAAGTTGCTGCGCTCCTTCAGGGGCTGAGACAAATTACGGAGCTGCTGTTTCAGCAGCTCTTCCTGGGGCTTGTGGCCGACTCGATGATGGATGCGCCTCGGCTTCCCGCGGGCCACGGTTCCCGGGACGCACTCCCCATCCAACCCCGGCTCTTTCTAAAGAGGCTCCAGCTCTCTCGGGCTCCTCTCCAAGCTCCCGGCCCAGGCCAGGCCGTACTTATTAACTAGCTGCTGACAGGGGGCGCCGGGAGGTGAGTGATGGCCCCCCGCAGCAGGAGACGGCTGAGTCAACTATCCTCACCGGACACGGGCATCGGATTGCTAGCTTTTGGGGACACATTCAAGTCACTGTGACCTGACTTAAAATATGATGACGGAGAACGGTTTCCCCTCCGGTTTCAAATAGCTACCTGGGTAATTTTTTAACTCATTCATTATACTGTATCTTGTGTTTGGAAAAAGAAATTAGTTTCTGGCTGCTTGGGAAAGACTACGTAATAAGAAAGCCAAAAAAAAAAAAAAAAGAAAAAAGTAGTTGAGTAACCTTGTGGAGTTTCTGGTCTCCTCTGTAAGAGAAAACTGTGCAAGAATGCAACAACTCAGACAATTGAACGCTGAACAAAACCGGAGTGAGCTCGCTTTTTGGATGGTTGTGAAAGGGTAACATGCGGGAAGCCCAGAGAAATCATTTTTCCGTACCAAGGCGGCCACTCATTCTCCTGGAAACTCCAGGTTCAACGGTGAGAACCTGGTAGACCCAAGATCTACCCCTGCACTTCCTAGTGAAAATGTTTCCTAGCAAAAATGAGAAATGGGCTTTTATGATTTGAGGTTCATAGTTTGGTGGGGTTGATGGACTTTTCCAGATTGCCTGGATTAAAAGGTGGTTTCTCCGGCCAGGCAGTCTGTCCCTTCTATTTAAACGCATTGCCCTTGGAGACAGGGTCATAGTCCAGGGTCTGAGGAAAAAGCCTTTGCTTTGAAAGCTGGGCTCTATGGCCAGGAAGGCCAATGCAACTGTGGCCAGGAAATCTGCTGGTGCATTCTGGAACCGCAGGGGGCGGGCAGTGCGCTCTCCATGCTGAGATGAAGACAGCGACCTCCTCTTAACACACCAAACTGTCGTTCACTTGTGAGTCTGCTTCAGCAAACTCTGGGCTCTCTGAGGCCAAGGACGGTGAATCTCCCTTCACTTGTGTCTGAAATCCTATTTCTGAACAGTCCCTGGCACGGGCAGGGTGCAGTGGAAGTCTGCTGAATGAACTAGTGCACGAACAAAGGAAATAAACTCCTGAGCCAAGCTGTTGTCTCGGGCTGGCGGTATACGGCAGATCTATCCACGTGTATACAGTCTCACAGTAGGGCGGGAAAAGGATGCAGACCCACTGACTTTCCAGCTCGTCTGAGAAGCAGCAGCAGCACCGGGGGCTTCAGGACTAACCAGGCCACTCACCTGGTCGGCTAGGGATGTGGACAGCATGCCCATCAGCTCCCTCTCGGCGGTGAGCCTCCACATCTGCTCCCATTTCATCTTCCGCAGCTTATCCAGGAGCAGCAGGATCACCCCTGGGCAGCAGCACAGGATGGAGGGTGAAGAAACAACAGTCAGACAGAGAGCCGGGCACACCCGTCCGCCTGTGCTGGAGACGAACACACCTGCGCTCAATCCCAGGCTCCGCCAGCTACTCAGGGTGAGACTTGAAACTGTCCTGCTGAAACACTCTCATCCAATGGGGGACCTTAACGCAGACCCCAAAGGCTGTCGTGAGCACTGAGAGAGATGGGCGGAGGAGCCCAGCGCTCTCTGGACAGGGACAGCAGTGAGGGCGGCCCGACACTGTGTGTGCACTTAATGCCGCTCAACCGTATGCTTTGAAATATGGCTAAAATGGTGTATTTATGCTAAGTACAGCTTTCCGCAATAAATTTAACAAGAGCCCAGCACTTGACCTGGTATGTCAGACATTCCCTGTAAGTGTTTGGTTTTCTGCTTTGTTTTCCCCCAGAGACATGATAACCTCCCTAGGTTTAGCTGGTGGGTGGCGTTTGGACAGTGCATGCCATTGATCTCTACCAGCCCCTCCGTGCCTTCCTTCTGGAGAAGGCTTAGCTCGCGTCAGTGTTCCTGACGTCAATGGTCATCTTAAGCCGACCACAATCAACAAACACATGTAAACTACGATGAAGGCAGTGCTGATGCTGGGCCTTCCAGATGAGCCCCAGAAGCCTTTGGTTTCATAAGAAACTGATAATAAGAGGTTGTTTCCTGCTCCTAACATCTTGTTTCCTTTTTGTTGTTGTTGTTGTTGATGTTTATGGGTAGTGAGTGGGGTGAATGGGTGATAGTATCCCCAGGAAAATTGCCATCATACACCCTTTTATGTTTTTAAAAATGTGAAAACAACTAAATGTATTACTCAGGCAAAAACTAACTAAAGTCACTAGTAAAAGTCTAAAGAGAAAAGCACAGGTTGGCTTAGCTGAAAGGCCCAGAAGCAGCCGTCTGCCCCGGGTCCGTCAGCGCATGCGGAGAAAGCACGGAGCCCAGCGCCTGCAAGCCGAGAGAATTTCCCTGGAGGCCACTGTCGTTAATGTGGTGGATGGAATTGTGGCACCCACGGGCTCCCGAACCCATCTGCCTCAGGATGCGTAGCTCAGCAGAATGGCCGGGAAGAAAGCGCCAGGCAGTTGAAAAATGATGTGAGTTGACACCCAGTATATACATTTTTAAGATTGTTGGGAAGAAGCTGATTCCCCAAATCACACATAAATGTCAACACTGAGACTTGTACTTATTCCAGCGGCACGTATTTGGGGAAAAAAGTATATCCACCATTTAGTGAAAGGTGTTTGGTCAGTTGCAGTCGAGGTTAAAAAAATACACACACACACACACACACACACACACACACACACAGAGTTATGGGAAGACTGGGATAGTACACAGAGATCTGAACTTGTAAGCCAGAAGAGCAAATTATACCTGATGCTTTTCTCCTTTGTGCTTTTGCTAGTTTTCTTGAGGATATGCCTTCACTGAAGACTCACAAGATCCCTACAAGCTAGATGTTGTCATCCTTATTCTAGAGGTGGGAAGACTGAGGGGCTAAGGCAGGCACTTAAACGATTTACAATATGAGACTAGATATACCAGATCCCCACTCAGACCTGCCGGACTCCAGAGCCACTGCCTTCTTTGTCCATACCACACAGACCAGGGCTCCAGGGATGCCTCTTCAGGGCCCTGGGGCTCAGGCAGAGTACTTTTTCTTTTTTTGACTATTGGTTTCTCCTTTGTAAAAGTAGGTAACCACTGCTTACCCTGTACAACTCAGAAAAAGGTTCACGCCGCCTAGAGGTAGGCTGGGGAATGTTGAATCACCGGCCCTCCGGGTAAAAAACAAAAGTCAAAACCTGATTTGTAGCTTTGCCCATTCTCCTGGTGTAAAGACTGTTGTCATGGCTGATTTCCAGCTACCGACGGGATGTCACTGAACACCGGCTGGGGGGAAGAAATGTGCCCAGTTGGCTTTCCCGAGTCAGCGTGAGCTAGCTCCAGCATACCAGTACAATAATTATCCCCCAAACACAAAAGCAATTTTAGTAAAATAGTCAAGTTCACCACAGCGCATCATGTGATTGCTTCTTTTGGGAAGACAAGGACGATATGCACAAAGTTTCAAACCAAGAGAATACAGCGATGGAATCAAGAAAGTAGATCCAAGTCAAACATGTGAAAAGAGAATTATTTCATGAATTCTCACTGCAGAAAATAATTCTAATGATGTTGCCGAGGAACAAACGGGGAGCGGGCAGAGGCTAGAAACAAGGGTAAGGATATTAACGCGCACGCTGGAGCTTCTAAAGAGGCCCGTGGTCGCTCTATCAGCCTCCGCAGCCTGAACTGAGGACTGGTGCTTCTAACGGGTGTTAGGGCTTGGCAAGTCCCGAGTGGCAGATGTGACCCCACTGCGTGTGTCAGGCTCCTTGAAAAGGGGGCGGGGTCCAAACAGAAGACTGAGTACAGAAATGTAGATCGTTCTCTCAGTCACCCAGCCTTTTCTTTTGTGCGGTTTTAATTTCATTTTTAAAAGCACTATTTCAAGCCAGCAGGAAAGTACAGAAACTAAGATAACAAACACCCACCGCCCCGCTTTAATACATGCTGATATAGTGCCACATTGGCTGTCAATCAGAAAGCATTCCTGACAAATCAGAAGCTCCTCCACCTCCTTCTAGCACTTCCTTCCTGCAGGGTGGCCGGCATCCTGAGACGGGTGGGTTTCATTTCCTTGCGTATGTTTTTATTTTATTTTCTATGCACGTATCATAAACAACATACAGTCTTTTAGAGTGCTTTATAGTGAATATATTATATTTTAAGTTACTTTTCACCCAACGTTATGTCTTTAAGATTTAACCATGTTAAGATGTTAATACCCAGTTTATTCATTGTAATTGCTTCATTCGTCATATAAATATACCACGGCTTATTTATGCCTTCCCCCAGTGAAGGACATTGGGCCACCTCCCAGGTTTCTGCTATTACAAACCATGCTGCAATAAACATCCTAATCCCAATTCACTGGCACGCGCCCCTTTGGACTAACGTCTGAGACCAGCCTCCCAGGCGGTGCGGGCCGCTGTGCGGGCGGTGCTACCTGGTCCCGCAACGTCTGGAGTTACTCCGCCTGCCTTCTCTCTGGCTTCCCAGACGTCGCTGAGCCTCAGGGAGTCTACGTTTAAAGTGGTTTCCTCATCTCTTTTTTTTTTACTCACTTATTCAACTTCCTTGTTTTTACTGAGCACCTCTTACATGCAAACTAACTGAAATCGACTTGTACTCGTGTTTCTTCCCTACTTTTTCTAATCTCGTGCGTTTCGCTCCAAATAGCAGTTCGTGTCTTTTCTGGATGCAAAACATTCGATCCTTGCCAGGTCTCCCATTTGCGGAAGACACGCACACTGTACGGATGCCATGCCGTGACTGTGAACATGGAGATGTGCGATGCTTATGAAAAAAAAAAAAAAAAAAAAACCCACAGAGGAGGCAGGCCCAGGCAGGGCGGGCTGGGATTTGGCCAGGCAGACAGGTGGGGATGTGGGAGACACGGACACGGGCAGCGTGGGGACATTGGGCTACACTGCGCCCACAGTGTGTGACGACTGGACAGTTTAGTTAGAGTGCTTTGGGGCCAGTGCCATGGTACGAGCCTGAACAAGTGAGCAGGGAACAAAGGGGGAAGGACCCTGGATCTGGGCAAGAGAGGTGCTTCCCAGCCGTTTTCACATCGTTTCCTAAACAGAAAACCATGTCCTTATGACTCACTGCGCGAGACAGAGGAAGCTGCTTGTGGCTGGAAGGACTGGTCCAGGGGTTCCGGCTGCCCCAAGTCCCGCTCAGGTGCCCCCATGGCCGAGGAGGTCACTATTTCGGCACGTTTGTCAGCCACGGGGGCCACACTCCTTGCCAAGTCCTGCTGAGGATAACTGGGAGCTGGTGAAGGGTTTTGAGACCATGGCAGCATGGGTTTCAGAAAAGCCAACCTAACACATTGCTTTATCGGGTCACCTCGTAGGATCAGCGACCTCCAGGATCTCCGGTGGTCTAAGGCACAGTTTCCCAGACTTGGGTGCCAGCCCGTCTGGGTCTTGCCACAATTTACTTTTCTTCCCCCTTTCATCAGGCCATTCCTTCCAGCAAAACCGGCACGACATGTTGCCACACAACCACCTCTTTTTTCGAACCTGACAAGCTAACACTCAGCCTGGTTCCCCTGTCAGCACCCCCGAATGTTTACTAAATATACCGCTCTCTGTTCCCCGGTTCAACCAAGAGTCAGAGTCAAAAGGAACACAAGCAGTCACGAGCAAACGTGTCGCAAAGCTCATGAAACCCACCCTCGGCTTCCTCACTCTTTGCCTCTTCTGACTCACAGCACCCTGAGAAAGGACACAGCCAGTCACCATCGCGGCCTTTGGACAGATGGGGGAGCTGAGGTGCTAAGAAGTAAGGTCACTTGTCCAGTGTCACGGTGCCAGCTGGTGCTTGGCAAGGGCTTCTCACTGCCCTGCCTGCTAAAGGGTCTGCATCCTAGAACATCAGAACTAACTAGGACTGTGTATTCCGTGCCAACGGGGATGATGGGGTGGATTTCTTTTGTGTATTGATACTTTGAAAGACCGCTTCATGCTAAACACAAATGCCAAATGGCTTCTCGGCCAGCACGAGCTCATGGGAATCAGGGTCCCCAAGGACCTACCACCTGGCCCTGTGCGAGCTGCCCTTGACAGGTCCAAGAAACCACAGGGGACACTGTGTGGCCTTACACATATGTCCCCATTCAGAGGTTGTTTCTCCCATGATTCACTTTAGAGGTGGGTTGTGAGCACCTCCTTTGGCTCTGTTCACTGGGTTAGCTGGGGACTTAGCAGTGTGCAAAGCGCAGCCCCTGTTCTCGGGGAGCAAGGCCTACCAGGGGAAGGAGACGAGGAACCCAGAAAATGCAAAGCACCGTGACAGATCCGAGATGTGGTCGGAACCACGGGAGCCGGTGCAGGCAAAA